ACAGGTGCCGCTGGGACAAGGTGCACCAGGACACAAAGCTGGCGTAACGCTGCCGACAGGGATGCTGTGGTTCGCAGACTGAAACACTGGCTGTTGGAGGCCGGGAATCATGAGAACAAGGCCAGTCATCAGCAATGGGACCGAGCGGGTCTGACGCCCTTGCTGACGGATAGGCAGCTGGAGCGGAAGTTCCGGGACCTGCAAAGGGCGGATGGGTGAAGCCGACAAGTGTCCCTGGACTTGTCTAGCTGAGATTCAGCGTTTTGGCCTGTCCGGCCACCGTGCACGAAGCTCAAGGCATGCGGTTCTGGAAAAACAGGCCGGATCGTGTTTTCAGGATTACGTTCAGGGTGGTTGTTCACTGGTTCCGTTTGGCGGCCCGGGGCCGGCATCCACGTGCCGAGGCACCTGTGCGGGAGTGTGCGGAAGTGTGCGGGTGTGTGCGGGTGTGTGCGGGGGGAGTGTGCGGAAGTGTGCGGAAGTGTGCGGGTGTGTGCGGGTGTGCGCGGGGTGTGTGCGGAAGTGTGCGGGTGTGCGCGGGGCGTGTGCGGATGTGTGCGGGTGCGTGCGGGGTGTGCGCGCATGCGTGCGGGTGCGCGCGCTGCGCGCGGACGTGTGCGGAAGCGCGCGCCGTGTGCGGAAGTGTGCGGGTGCGTGCGGGTGCGTGCGGGTGTGCGAGCGGCGGTGTGCCGTGGCGGTTCGGCAGTGCGGGACAACCTGTGGTCACACATTGAGAACCAGAGAAAATCATGCTTGCCCGAGTGACCAGTGTTTTTTTTTGGTAGAATCCGAAATCCGAAGCAAAAGCCTGCAAAAGCCACCCAAAGCCGGGGGCAAAGCCAGCTAGCCATGGGCATGCCATGGGCCAGGCTGCGCTAGTGTCGCCAGAGTTGCAGAGTCATTGCAGAGACATCAGAGACATAGACATATGATTTACCTGTTGAATTTGCCTGTTGCGGTTGGTTGCTTGAAGTTGCTTGTGCTGTTTGGTGTTCTTGGCAAGCTCTTGGTGTCTTCGGATCCGTGCCCCTCCGACTCCAGCCCAGCCTCCGACCGCCCAGCCTCCAGCCCAAGCGTCATCACTGCCTTGTGACCTGTGACTCCAGGACCCATCTAGGTTTTGCGGGGTGGACCCAAATCACCGGCAACCCCGCTCTTATAAAGCTTGACGCATTCATAATATGCGCATGTGAGGGATGCGCGCGCGCATCCCTCACATGTGCTTTCTCATTGAGAGCACGGAAAACAAGAGGGGAATTGCGCCTTGCGCATGTGAGGAATGCGTGATGCGCGCGCGCGCATCACGCATTCCTCACTCATTGAAAGCGCGGAAAACAAGAGGGGAATATCGCTTTCGTAAAACAACGACCAACGAAAGCCAGGGGAGGAGGGGAGGAGGGGAGGAGGGGAGGAGGGGAGGAGGGGAGGGAGGAGGGGAGGAGGGGAGGGGGGAGGGAGGGAGGGGAGGAGGGGAGGAGGGGAGGAGGGGAGGAGGGGGGAGGGGAGGAGGAGAGGGGAGGGAGGGGAGGAGGGGAGGAGGGGAGGAGGGGAGGAGGGGGAGGAGGGAGGAGGGGGGAGGGGAGGAGGGGAGGAGGGGAGGGGAGGAGGGGAGGCAGCGGTGAACGGTGAAAAGCGTTGCAGATGAAGCCATCATGAAGCAAGCCAATGAAGCAAGCAGCAAGTGCTGTACTTTGTTCCGAAATCCGAACCTCGGAATTGACGTGTGGCCTAGCCTCCCGACTCCTGATTCTCGTTCTGTCAGCCTGTTCGAAGCACCGCGCATGCCATATGCTGTAGTGCTGCATGATGCTGAGGTCCAGTGTAAGTCATGGCTGCAGCTTGGCAAATTCAAGAGAAGGGTTGATGCGTGGAGTAGAGGCGTAGCAGATTGAACATGGGACAACATCGGAAGCACAGTCGGAGCATGACAATTATGATAGGCTTGCAATGTCAGCTTGGATTGATCGGATATCAGCGGAGCCAGCTTTGTCATGTGTGTAGACTGTAGAGAGCAGGCACTAGTGGCAGTGGCGCCTGGAAGGACAAGAATCCTGTGCCATGGATGCAGACAAGGACAATCGGACTCAGTCTGAGTCGCCTTGCAAGCCGGCCAGATTTGCGTCTTTTGGGTCTCGTTTGGCAAGAGCGACATCATCCAAAGCCATTTCCCTTTCACCCGGGCCCGGGTCCCCAGGGACACTGTCAGATGCTGCGTCAGAGAGCTCCGCTGGTATTGGGTTGGATTTTACGAAGTGTGTGGCAGCTTCTCCTCAGAAGGACTTTGGAGCAATCGTGCCGATGGCTCCACGACTGCTCCGATTTGCCAGTCATGAATCCATGTCCATGTTGTCTGTGGCCTCAGAGGACTTACAGGACACGGAGGTGCTGGAAGAGCTTTTTCAGTGGCCGCAAGCTTTGCTTTACAAGCTGCTGGGCATCGGACACCGCCCGAATCAGCAAGTGTGGCAACAAAGGACACTTACATCTGCCATGAAACATCGGCAGGCAGAAATGCGTGAACTGTTTCTGGAAGCCATGGCCGAAGGTGTTCTGCTGAGCACTGCTTACAGTGGTGTGGAGGCACCTTTGCATGCGGCCTGGGAAATCATGAAGGCCGTGGAAGGGTCTGGTGTCGCGGGCGATTGCCATGGCAGACAGGCAAGGAAAGGCAGCTGGCAAGGATTTCGGTCCTACTCAGGTGGGGACTCCGATGCCAGGTGCCGTGCTATTTCTCTTGGATTCCATAGAGAGAGTTCCAAATGGCCGGTGCAGCTCCGGCCAACGCATGTCTTTGGGACGTTGGAAGATGCTGTGGAGGACGGAAATTTGTTGTTCGATCTGTACAGTTTGACGAGTCAACATGGTACATCAGCGTCTCAAGATGAAGTGGGAAGGAGCCTTGACTCCAACGGTCCTGCTTGCAAGAAGCAGAAGAAGGCAGCGGCAGAACCAGACTACGAACTGTTCGGCAAGTTCCTTTCCACCTTTGGGAAGGTGCACAGGTACTTCAAGGACCAGTGCAAGAGCAAGAGCGGGCCAACCGCTTACTGCTACAAACACAAGGGCAAGTGTAGTCTTCACATGCCAGCAGACTTGAAGAAAACGGCCGGGCGGACCATGCACGTCGCCGGCCCTATTTGTGTTGACTGGAGCGCCCGAGGCAAGAAGAAGGGCCTGGCAGGTCCCAGCACAATACCCTTCTTGGTGTGGCTGGGCGAACTGTCCACCTCAGGTGTGGATTTGGGCATCCATGAAGGAACTCTGCAGACCGACCTGAAAGCGTTGATTGCGCCGCTTGAGATGGTTCAGGAACCTGGCCAGCCTTGGGGGTTCTACGGGTTCAACCTCGACCCCAAGCGTTTTGGCTGTCCATGCAGCCGGCCAAGATTGTACACCCTTGTCTACAGGAAGGACAAGTTCCAATTCACTGGCTCGCAAGACGAACTGGATATGTTCCTTGGGCAGGACTTGCTGTGCTCTGGGAGAGTGTTCTTCAATGATGCCAGCACAGCTTTCGAAGAAGCATCGTTGAACAACACCCAGGAGCAGAGCCTGCGCAGGCATGAGGCGGCAGAGCGAGACGAGAGCGACGCATGCATCGGAGACTTGAATCAAATGCCGCCATTTGGGAGACTGCAGAAGTTCGTACCAGCATTGGTCACGCACGGATGCATTGCAAGCCTGAAAGATGGCAAGGTCCTCGCTGCCGAACAGCACCTGGATGTACAGCTGCTCAGCAAAGAGAGTCATGCCAGGGGTGAGGGTTCCGGCTTGTCTTGTGCATTCAAGAAGCACCTGGCCGGTAACACCATGCATGCGTTGAGCATTGGTCCTATGCTGGTGTATTCTCGGCATGTTTGAAGCCCTTGCCGTGTGATGTAACTTCTTTATGAGGTCGGGCCCAAATTTTGACTGACGAAGGGTCCAGCATCCGACTCCAAGCCTCCAAGGGGCCGGGCTGAAGCTGAGCGGGGCAGAAGCACCCATTGGACTTTGAAAGTTTCGACGCGGAGTGAGAAAAGTCGTGCGTGTTAGTGCTAGTAGAGTCGGGTAGGAGTCCTCGCTATTTGCAGCTCTGGCGCTCTGTAGCGCTGCCTCGCTATGCAGATTAAGGCAAGTAGCCAGTGTGAGGATAGGAGGATTGAACTAATGCAGTGCCGAAGAACTATGCATACAGGTACCGTTGGCTGCGTTTGGTGTGTCATTGTCACTCTCTCATGGCATTAGTCCGGCACGGTGTCATGTTGGCTGTGTGCTTGTTTCGGACAAGTTGGCGCAGATTGTTTTCCCAGCCGCCTTGTAGTTGATGGTGTGACCCAAGGTGTAGGATTTTGTTCTTGCAGCTGGCGAAGGAAGAGTTGAGAGTGCGTTCGTACATTCTTACAGTGGCACCTGTAGGCCTGTAGGGGTTGCTAGCGCCGGAAAGAGCACCGTTAGGACCGATGTAGACTATGAGATTATTGTTCAGAAATTTCTCATACCAGTGCTCTCCACGACCACCACCAGCACCGCCAGGAAGTGTAGGCTCCTGTGCAGCAATGCGAATCATGTAAGACACGTGTTCCCCTTTCTCTTGAAGAAGCATGATTCTGGAGCTGCTTCAACGAATCCAGTCCCGACGCCGGCGATCAAGATTGGGGCCTGTGTAGACTCTGAGATAGATGGACTCGGACATGACGGTGTCACATGAATGGTTTGCAGGGCATTTGCTTCTTTTCCCACAAGCCGTGAGACTTGAAGAAGCTTCGAGTCACATAAGCCCCGTAAGTTTCAATGCATTAAGACATTGCAAGGCTTGACAAAGCTACAGTGATGCTGATTCCGCATGATCTTACTGAACGACTCGCCCGAACAGCAAGGCATAGTGAGTGACGTTGCAATGCCCCCCCCCCAAATGCATGACTGAGACATTACAAGGCCCGACAAAGCTACCGTGCTTCTGATTCCGCATCATCTTACAACGACTCGCCCCAACAGCGGGCATAGTTAGTGACATTGCAATGGCCGCCAGTGACATGTTCAACATGGCTGCCTCTGAGGGGTCTTCCGAGGAGGACGATGCAAGTCCGGGTGTTGCTGCGGACTCCAAGAACAACCAGGGCAGTCAAGCGCAAGACCAAAAAGAGAAGCAAGCCAAGAAAGAGAAGCAAGAGACAAGCTCAGAGCAGAGCAGCCAAGAGTGTGACTGTGAGAGTTCCCAGCAGCGAGGCCGCAAGCGGACGAGAAGTTCCCCCGGGAAGAAGCAGAAAGAAAGGAAGCAACAGAAGAAGGGCGAGGACGACGTGTGTCGTCTGTGTCAAAAACGCAGAAGAGGCGGGAAGAACAAGGAGTGCAATATATGCAAAGCAGACATCGCCGCCGCCGCGAGGGATGCGAACAGGCAGAACAAGAGAAGCTTCTTCAACGACCTCAGGCGAAAGGGAGGGGCTCCGTGGCGTGACTTTATGTTTGCTTTCATACGCAACTGCGGAGAGAGACGGAAGTATGAGAAGCGTGACCATTTCGACTTCATCAAGTACGAAGCTGCCATCAAGCTCAGCGCCAAACTCCAGCTGGGGTTCAAAGCGGTTATGACAGCGGAGGAGGAGCACGTTGAGGCCGCCGAGCGGAAGGGGCAAAGTCGAATGGAGGCTCGTGCAGAATGGTTGAAGGAAGAAAGAAAGGCGATCTACTCCGACATGAAGGGCCCTGGAGGAACCAAACGAATTCCGATACGAACCGAAGATTTTGTCATCGCATACGAAGAGGTCGCCAAGGAGCAGGCCATAACGCTGAGCCACAAGCAAGAAAAACACTCAGAAGCAAAGCTACAGGAAATGCTTGCTGGCGCGGCCGCCCAATCCAAGGGGATGATGGCAGAAGTTGCTCAGCTTGCTTCCGGCGCCTCCGGCGCCTCGGCCTCCTCGATGCCAAACCTGGGCAATGAAGGCAGGCAAAGGGTAAGAGTCGATTTTGCAATAGTTTGCACTGAAACGAGTGATTGAGGCATAGGATTTCGGGGGAAATTTGAAAGGGTACTCTTGCCGACTCGTAGCATTAATTACCCTACACACAGAGCCCCAATATCCCTCAACTAGTGCACTGCACGTACATCTCGCCCTTCCCGAGTCGAGCCCAAATCCCGATTTCGGCAAGCTCGATGCGCAGGAAATACGATGTTCAGAGCCGTCGGGGACTTGGAAGCGGCAGGGGGCGATGGCGATGACTCGCAGAGGAGGAGGAAGAGAAAGAAAGGGAAGCGAGGCGCTTCCATTTTAGCATGTAGAGTAGGCTACAGCCGTTCGCTGCAGCAAGGTTCATTGCTTTACTTGTGCTTGTCGGTGTGATGAAAATCCCAATCATCCCAATCACTGCAGCTCCATGCTTCACCCTGCTGTTCCCATGTCAAACTCTGGAAGGCTCCTCCTCCAAAGACCGCTCCGAGAATGACTCTTCAGAGGACAAGAAGGACACGAAGAAGAAGAGAAGGGCGTATGATGTGGAGAGTGGCATCCTGGGGGCAATAAGCTCTTTGTCTCCTGTCTTTCAGAAGATTCACGATGAGATCTCTGAGTGCCTCGACCGCGTGACGCTGCAGCTCGCCAAGTGGCAAAGGTTGGACACGGAGCTGACCAGCACGATGCCTTTACGCGACATGCTCGAGCGAAGGTTGGAGGCCTGCCAGCTGGTGCTAGCAGACTGCCCCAGCGTGCCGAAGCAGGGAGTGGATTGCAGGGAAAAACAAGCCCAAGCAGTTCAGAAGATGATGGATGCGAAGCAGAAGTGGCAGCAGGAGAACACACCGGAGCCTTACCCTGGCTTCTTTGCAAATGGTCCTCTGCTCTCAGTGTGCACCTCGCTGAAGGCTCTGGGGAAAGATGTTACAACCAAGAAGCAGATGGATGATCAGGTGAAAGAAGTGAGGGCTTTGTTGACAAATCACGGCACACTGGTGAAGCGCACGAATGCCGTGATCAGCAAGGCAGAGAAAGCGGAGAGGGACTTCAATGCTCAGAAAAAAAAGAAAGAGGAAGCAGCGACCGAAGCTGCTTTGAAAAGGGAAGCAAGTTTGAAGAAGGCCGCCGAGACGAAGACGAAGCGCCTCACCCTCGCCGCAGAGAAGCAGGGCACTGTGAATGATCTCTTCCACATCGACTTCGGGAAGCTCAACGCCGGCAAAATCAAGTCTTACGCCGCCTCGGCGGCGCCGACCGAGCTGGACTGGGCAGAGCCGTTCTTCGTGAGATGCGGTGCCGATGGTGGGCCAATGGCGGAGATCACAAGCAACAAGGAGGTAAGCCAGCACCTGAACAGCTACAGGAACGGGTTCCCCAACTCTCCAGCCTCCACCCAAGGCAAGATGAAAATGGCCCACACTGTCGCTGCTGAGGATGCTGATCGGCTGCGTGCTGCTTTCTTGCGTGCTTGGAATATAGAGGAGTACAAGGCAAGTGATGTCGATGCAGTGCCGCATCCTGGCAAAAAGAAGCAGGAGGAGGATGAAGCGAACTCGATTTCCTCAAAAGCTGAGTGGAGATGGCCCCAGGAGATGCAGCATGTGCAGGTGTTCGGTGAGGGTGAGCAGTATGTGAACCACGGAACAATGCCCGCCGAAGTGGCGTGCATCAAGTACCTCGTCACGGGCCAGAGTATGATGGTGGCCATGCCCGCAAGCAGGCTGAGGAGTTTTTTCAGCGGCAAGAATGAAACTGCTGGCGGGACAAAGCTCGCAGATGTGAAGAGGTTCTTGCAGAACCTCCAGCCTGCCGAAGTGATTGCGCTGATGAACAGATGCAGTACCCCGGACCGCCCCACGATTCGGTACGGGGTTGTATCGGAGACCAATCTTTGCTATGTGCCTCCTGGCTGGGTGGTTTGTGAAAAGGTCCTGAACCAGAGAGTGAGCATCGGCGTGCGCGTGAGTTTCCTCGCGAAGTCGCTTGATGAGCATTCCCATAGCTTCTCTGCGGATCTCCGGTCCATGCAGGAGCTTGTGATCAATGGTTCAAGCCATTCCAGCAAATCTGCGACTCAGCTGGGTATTTGGGTCAATCTCCTTTGGCAGAAAAGAAATAAGGATCCGACGCAGCCACAGGACACCGGGATGACAAAGGCGAAACACAGTTTGAGTTGCACGAACACTCATGGGGGGATCCAGGAATCTTAGACCCACAGAGTTTGTTGCATTTTGCAGCCAGTCAGATGCGATGGGTTCATCTTGGGAAATCGTTTTGCAGCCAGTCAGATGCGATGGGTTCATCGAAATCATGTGAAGATTGCTAACTTTATTATGTTTGTTTAAGGAAACGACGTTGATTGGTTTTTCATGCCAGCATAGTGACGCTGAGATAGTGTCAATGTTTCGCAGCATTGGGAGTTGGGACAGTGTTGGATGAATCAGGAGGCCCACGCAGAAGCTGAGGAGGAGACAAGGCTGGCCCGAGAGAAGCAAGGCAAGTCCCAAGACGGGGAAGCGGCGAAAATCCCTGAAGCTGAGGCGGAGCAAAGGAAGTCCCAAGACAAGGGCGAGGCGGCGGCAATCCGTGCAGCAGAGGCAGCCGAGGCGGCAGAGCTTGCGAAGGAAGAGGCGGCAATCCGTGCAGAAGCTGCTGAGGAGGAGCGAAGGCTGGCCCGGCTGGCCCGAGAAAAGGAAGAGGCTGACATCAGTGCAAAAGCTGCGGAGGAGGAGCTAAGGCTGGCCCGAGAAAAGGAAGAGGCCAACGTCCGTGCAGAAGCTGAGGAGAAGCAAAGGCTGGACCAAGAAAAGAAAGAGGCGGCAATCCGTGCAGAAGCTGAGGAGGAGCAAAGGCTGGCCCAAGAAAAGAAAGAGGCGGCAATCCGTGCAGAAGCTGCGGATGAGGCGGCAATCCGTGCAAAAGCTGAGGAGCAAAAGCTAGCCCAAGAAAAGGAAGAGGCAAGCGTCCGTGCAGAAGCTGAGGAGAAGCAAGAGAAGACAGAGGCGGCAATCCGTGCAGAAGCTGAGGAGAAAGAAAGGAAGTCTCGAGAAAAGGAAGAGGCGGCAATCCGGGCAGAAGCTGAGGAGGATCAACGGAAGTCCCGAGAAAAGAAAGAGGCGGCAATCCGTGCAGAAGCTGCGGAGGAGGAGCGGCTGGCCCGAGAAAAGGAAGAGGCTGACGTCCGTGCGGAAGCTGAGGAGAAGCAAAGGCTGGGCCAAGAAAAGAAAGAGGCGGCAATCCGTGCAGAAGCTGAGGAGAAGCAAAGGCTGGACCAAGAAAGGAAAGAGGCGGCAATCCGTGCAGAAGCTGAGGAGGAGCAAAGGCTGGCCCAAGAAAAGAAAGAGGCGGCAGTGCGTGCAGAAGCTGAGGAGAAGGAGAGGGAGTCCCGAGAAAAGAAAGAGGCGGCAATCCGTGCAGAAGGTGCGCTGGAGGAGCAAAGGCTGGCCCGAGAGCAGGAAGAGGCTGACATTCGTGCAAAAGCTGCGGAGGAGGATCAGCGGAAGTCCCGAGAAAAGGAAGAGGCGGCAATCCGTGCCATCCGTGCAGAAGCTGAGGAGAACGAAAGGAAGTCCCGAGAAAAGAAAGAGGCGGCAATCCGTGCAGAAGCTGAGGAGGATCAACGGAAATCCCGAGAGAAGAAAGAGGCGGCAACTGAGGAGGATGAAGGGCTGGCCCGAGAAAAGGAAGGAGCTGAAGTCCGTGCGGCTCAGGAGCTTCAGAAAGTGTTGGAAAGGCCGGCCACAGAAGAGGAAAAGGCCAACATCGGTGCAGGTGAGGAGGAGCAGAAGAAGTCCCGAGCAAAGGAAAAGGCTCGAATCCGTGCAGAAGCTGAGGAGAAGCAACGAGAAGAGGAAGAGGCTGACATCCATGCAGACGCTGTGAGAGCTGCAGATAAGCAGAGGAAGGATTCCAAATCAAAGAAGAAACAAGCAGACGAGGCGCAGGACTTGAAGGAAAAAAAGAAAGACTCGAAAGCAAAGAAGGAGAAGGAGCCAGCAGACAGCAGCAAGGGAAGCTTGATGAAATTCATGAGGCCTGCAGATGCAGCTGTCAAGGCCAGACCCGGGCGTTGTGCAATATGTAGGCAGACATGGTGCTCAGTGGATCTTCAGTTCTAGCTGTTGGGCAGTGCTATGGGACCTTTGGATGGGTGGAATGCCTCTGCCAGGATTGATCGAAAGAAGCGGCGGCAAAGCGAAATATGACATGAGGGGTGATTTCACAAGGCCGCTGCGTTTTACGAGAAGTTCGGGCAGCATGTTCGGTTCATTAGAATCTGATTCCGCAGGTCACGAGGCCGCTGAGTTCTACACTGAGTCGTGTAAGTAGGAAGTTCGGGCACCATGTTCGGTTCATTAGAATCTGCTTCGGCAGGTGTTTTGCTACCTGGCACTGGCGCTGGAAAGAACTTGCAAAGCAGACTGTGAGGCACTGTGGCACTGTGAGGCGCCTGGTAGCTGGCAGGTCTGGCTGTAGCTGTGTCCGAAACCCGACCTGAGCAGCAACGCCAAACTCTACATCAATAAAGTCGCTCTGATTATGACTGCCTGTTCTTTCGTCCCTAACTCCCAAACACAAGATTCTCCCACAAGCGTCACAAAGCACTATCAACACCGAGCAAACAACCCCACACTTGGTGAAGGGCTGAAGCACAACTCCTAGCTAGCAAAACCTGCTCTTCTATCGCTTCTTTTGAAGAATACCAGTTTACAGCCTGACAGCCTGGGATTTGGACAGCTTCAGTCAACAGCATGCAGCGCGGGCAGTGCAGCCAGCCGGCAGGGCGGGCAGTCGAGCCGGGGTTGATGTTAGGAACATTGCAGGCCGCAGGCAAAGGGCATAGGGCATAGGCTGAAGTGCTGAAGGCAAAGGAAGGATCCTATATGAGCTGTGGGTCTCATTGCTCTTCCTGTCGCTGCTCAAGGAAGCTTTCAGTTGTTCGACCAGCGGGCGCTAGCTGAAAAAAAGGGTCAGAAGAGCAACTTCAAAGATAGCTGGAAATGTCATGTTGAATGAATCAAGTCTAGAGAGTAATGCAGGGTCCACGCAGGCCACTGTCCTTCATCATTCCCGAGGAGAAGTGGGGTAGTCCAGAAAGCAGTAGTCATGACTCTGGAAAATTATTCGCTTATCTTGTGAGTTTTTTGAACCCTTTGAGAGTCCGAGTCTGCTCTCGGGCCGCTAAAATACAAATACATTCACCTCAGAACCCTAATTTTAAGATGGCAGCTCTCTCATAATTTCCTGTTTTCTGATTAAAGTGCACAAACAGAATCTTTTTGCTTTATTTTGTTCATGGATTTCCATTATCTTGTGGAAACACTTGTTGGCCAGGGAGTTATACGCAGAGTGGAGTCTCAGTCTCTTTTACTGCACTCACGCTTACCTGTAGAGTTGTGCTGTTAGTGCTGAGGTGTAAAGTGGCTGCGTAGGAAAACTCGTTCCTTTGAGTTTTCCTTTTGGCCTCACAACTCCGAAACACTGTCAGATAAAACTTCATTTGGGTATATACATAATTCTTATGATTCTGCAATGATGTTACATTTTCATTACAAAATCACAAGGTGTATTATGTTCTTTTAAAGTATTCATTTACGATCCCTTTTTTTGAGCTTGTCTTGTGCTCAGCTTTCATCGTGCTTGCACACCCCGCGCTCTGTTTTTTTCCTGCACTTGTGTCGTTTTGCTCAGCTCTGCCGGGCCGAGGGCCAGCCTTTCCAACAATTTCTGTCATATGAGTCAGATGCGATGTGTTCATCTTCGGAAATCAGGTGAAGATAGTGAACAACTGAAAGCATCTGCTTGTGAACGTTAAGTTTGTTTAAGGCAACAAAATTGAGTGTTCTTCAGGCCGACATAGTGACACTGAGATAGTGTCAGTTGTTCGCAGCATTGGGACAGTGCTGGAAGAATAGATTCGCTCTATTACTTGGATTTATCGACATTTGAAATTGAAAATGGATTTGCACAGTTGTTTTCCGAAGAGCACAGTTTCTAAATTTCTAAATGTTTCTAACGGTTTTTTTCGCTCCGGAGCTAAAATGCACATGTTTGGCTGAATCACCCCCAACCACCTTGGCCACCACACCACCTTTTGCAAGTACCTACTTGCGCGCACCGGGTCTCGCATTTACAAGGGGCGCGGCGTCTGGAGCGGTGAAAATTTTTAAAAAAAGAAGAAGGCGCGGCGCGAAGCGCGCGCGCCTGGAGCGGCAATGGGCGGAGCCCCTCACCTTAAGCCAGAAGCCTATTCCAGAAGCACGATTCAGCGCCCTGTATTTGCTTACAACTGCAGATTGAAGAGCAATTCGTTTGCAAAACAAGTCTCTGTCTTGCGCAATGACACTTTTAGAATGTCTGCACTTGCGGCATCGCACCAAACATGAATTCTCTCTCGATCCTCAATTTCTGCAAACTTGTGGACTTGCCGGTCAGAATCATCCAAGCTGTAGCAATTTTGATTTTGAACTGCACTGCAAGCACTGCAGACGTCCCTGCTTTCGCCCAGGACTCTCAGCGCGCGGATCAGTAAACTTAAAAAAAACTGGAACAAACGGACCTGCCGATGCATCAACGTGCAGCGGCTCGAAGGGAGTCTCCCGCCGTGTTAAATGGTTTTTTGCCGACACAGCGAAACCCTGCAAAAAAGCCGTCGAGCTTCTATGTGCCCGAATTTCGTTTTGAAACTCGTCACCCGAGTTTCAATCCGTTTGTGAACTCTTTTGCGCCATTAGTGTGACAGACGCAGAGAGTGTTTTGTCCCTTTGATTGATCGCTCAAATGATAATTGACTGTGGGCTGGCTAGGAGTAGATGTTGAACTTGATGAGATTTCTTTTTGCTCCGTCGGTCGCCAACACGGAATTGTTTGGTTGCGGTGTTTAGTCGGCGTGGATCTGGATGAGTGTGGATCCAACGTCTTCCGTTTGGGATCAGTGCCGCTGGACAAGGGGGCGAAGGACCATTTCTCAACAAGAAATGGATAAGGCGCTGCTTCTTTCTTCGGATTAGCCAGTTCTTGCGAAAGGATGCTGGAGTCTTCGCTCCACTGCTGACGGAACTCCGGAAAGAAATCCAAAATTAATCAAAAACGTAGTCAAACTTGTCAAACTGCATGTAAACAATTCTGCAGCAAAAACCGTGCATCCCAACCGGTTCGACCAGCAGTCTTGACCCACGCTTTTTGCGGTCTGGACTTACGCCGCTGAACG